GGGCTGAGAGAGAGGAGTTTTAGTTTAACTCAGGGATCTATACTAGCTATTGTCGCTGCTGCTTTTGATTGGTTTCCTGCTTTTTGCTCCCCTTTTTTTAATGCCACATCATGAGCATTTTCCTGTAATAAAAATATTTTTCCAAAACGTGACTTGAATGGCTGCCTAACATTTGTCATCCGAATGCCCCATAACTGTTTGTGTAAGTGACAGTAATTGTGTAGGGCCGGGATGAATGGCCTCATTGAAGAGCTGAGCTGTCCTTGGGAAAGGAGGTGGTGCGTGCACCCCCGCACCCGGTTGAGACAGTCCTCCTCAGCCTCGTGGTGTGTGTTTGAGACAAGATATTTCCTGAACAAGGTGTTTGCGAAGCAGCTATTGATTGCAGTGTAAAAATTACCGAGTGTTCTCTTCATTCTCTGGAATTAAAAAATGGGCTTTGTTCTCAGGGCCATGGTGTGACTGTTGTGTGCTGTGGCCACATCATTAGGGAAGACACGGTAACCATCCGCCTGGGACTCATCCAGGCTGCAGGACAATTACGACGGCACTGACTCTATTAGGAAGGAAAAGTTGTCAGACAGTCTTCAAATCAGGCACATTCCCAGAGACAGAAATAAGGTGACCACATCATCCTTAATGTTTTATCATGATTATTATTCACCCTAATAATAATGGCACTGACTGAATGTGAGCTCTTTGGCAAGCATCTCATTGTGTGCCTCAAATAAATTCTCTTTCTTAATCTTCATAAGAAATCAGGTCGTAGGACAAGCATGCGAGAAGTTGGGTCCCAAGCTCAGGTCTAGTTGATCCCAAATTCCACACCTTTGATTTCCCCTCCGTAAACGGTCACCTTGGTTCCAGGGCCACTATGTTAGGGCCTGATCTAAATGACATCCACACATAACTCAAGCCATGCCACAGGTCACGGCTCTGGACATTCTATAATTTTAATATAAATACTATACTATGTCCAGTGTTTCCCACCTCTTCCCACTGCACACCACTGAAACCTCCACTCCCAGGGGCTGCCTCTTTGCTGTCTGTGTCTCCCATGGAGGACCAGAGCGCCCCCTGGAGTGGAACAGCAGCTCATTGACCCTGCCACCTGGGCATCTGCTGCTACTCCTCCCCAGCCGCACTGGGTGGGCACTGTTAGATATCAAAGCCCGGCTGAGCAAACCTGGGGTCACTCTATTCCCCCTGTGTGGCAGAGATAACCCTGAAGGGCAGGACCCCAGGACAAGCCTCCTTAATCTCCCCCATTTTGTATGTTGGGTTCCAGTGTCCCGCCCAGCCTGTTGTTAGGTTTTTTTGTACCACTCCAATCCCAACCACACTCCCCATTAACTCATGTTTGAGTCTGTGAATACCTTCTCTGCCTTGGTGTTTAAAAATAGTTTGCAGGGAGAGAGATGGGGTAAGGCAAGAATGGGGCAGGTGAAACATTAGGCATTCATTATAGGTAACATATTAATAGTGCTCACTTTATTTTCAAGTAAAAATCCTATTACTCATATGTTCTCTTGTTGCGTGCATTTCAATATTTTTAATATTCAGAATTGACTATAAATTTAGTACTTTATTGCTAAATAAGGTAGTTTATGCTAATTAAGAAGGGTTGCATCTATTTTATCTGTATCATAAATAGGACAAGGGAAAAACTCTAATATCATAGCATTAGAAGTTGAGAGTGCCAAGATCTTAGGAAAAAGTGGTAATCACTTAATACTTATTATAATTCATTAAGCTTGTAGGAAATATTTAGATACTTAATTGGCATTTAACAAGATAGCTATAGAGAGTAAATGAGACATTAAATTCTCTTCTTAAATGCCCATTAGGTTTGCTTTAGAAATTAATTGATATCTAATTCATTTGCTATCAACTATTTTATCCTTTGCCAGCTGAGAAGTTCAACATATTAATGATAAATAGAGGCAGGAAAAGGGGAAACTTATGCTTCCTGAGCTCAGTGTCAGCTTAATTTAAAAGGCAAAGGCCCTCCTGGTGCCTTAGTCTTACCAAAGGGACATTGTCATTGGGTTTGGAAGGAGAGGGGCTCTGACCACTTGTGCAGTTGCACCTGTCTAAACCCTCAGTTATCAAAGGTCCCTAAAAGGATGGTGAACAGAGAGCATGGGGTAACCAGAAAGGCTTTCAAAGAGAATCAAGTGCAGTATCTGCACCTGCTCAGACTAAACTAAATGTGTGTTAATGGTATCCAGGCAAGATGATGAATGAAATGCAGTAGGAAAGTTGGCTGTTTACAAATACCTGCGGGTCATTCCTCAGAATGTGAAGGGGGGATGTTTTGTTGCTCTAGACAGTAGCAATGGACTAAAATTATAGTGAGGGGACGGGAAAATAAGCTTCTGAGATCCACCTGCAAAAAAAGACTCTCTGCTGTTGGCCGGGCGCGGTGGCTCATGCCTGTAATCCTAGCTCTCTGGGAGGCCGAGGCAGGCGGATTGCTCAAGGTCAGGAGTTCGAAACCAGCCTGAGCAAGAGCGAGACCCCGTCTCTACTATAAATAGAAAGAAATTAATTGGCCAATATATATAGAAAAAATTAGCCGGGCATGGTGGCGCATGCCTGTAGTCCCAGCTACTTGGGAGGCTGAGGCAGAAGGATTACTTGAGCCCAGGAGTTTGAGGTTGCTGTGAGCTAGGCTGACGTCACGGCACTCACTATAGCCTGGGCAACAAGCAAGACTATGTTTCAAGAAAAAAATAAATAAATAAAAAAATTTAAAAAAAAAAAAGACTCTAGCCGCTGGGGGTGGCTGCTTCAGGGTTTACCTCAGCTGCACAAAACTGCCCCCAACAGGGCACACTCTTTCTAGAGTAGCCCACAGCCAAAACTGCCAAACTGCCACAGCCAAGGACACCAAGGCACTCACAGACATTGAGAATGTGATTACAGCTTAAGAAGCTGCACAGAGATACACCATTTCTTCACCCAGAATCAAAGTCAATGCACCCTACCAACTGACACCATCGATAGGAAAAAGTCTTTTCCTATGAAAGCTACTTAGTAAAATTGGAAGAGGCCACTGTTCCACCAGTTGTGCAGAAATCAAAGTATAAACATCAAAACAAGAAAGAGCAAGAAAATATGATACCTCCAAAAGAACAAAACAATTTTCCAGTAACAGACCTCAAAGAAAAGGAAATGTATGAAATGCCTGAAAGGAATTCAAAATAATGATTTTTAAGAAAAAATATCAGTGAGATACAAGAGAATATAGACAAATAATTCAATAAAAATCAGTAAAACAATAGTCTGAACAAGAAATCAACAAAGAGATAGATATAATGAAAAGAAACAAGCAGAAGTCTTAGAGATGAAGAATTCAATAGATGAAGTTTAAAAAATTGAGAGCTTTAATAACAAATATTCACATTATAGGATTACTAGAAGGAGAAGAGATGGAAAAAGTCACAAAAGGACACAAATAAATGGGAAAATATCTTGCATGCATGGATTAGAAGAATTAATATTGTTAAAATGTCCATACTACTCAAAGCAGTCTACAGATTCAATGTGATTGATTCCTATCAAAATATCAGTGGCATTCTTCACAGAAACAGAAAAACAGTCCAAAAATTTGTGAGGAACTACACAGGACCCCAAATAGCCAAAGAAATCTTGAGGGAAAATAGCAAAACTAGAAGCATCATACTGCCTGATTTAAAAACATACTGCAAAGTTGTAAGAGCTAAGACAGCATGATATTGGCATAAAAACAGAAACATAGACCAATGCCACAGAATAGAGAATACAGAGATAAATCCATACATCTACAGCCAACTGGTTTTCAGGAAAGGTGCCAGGAACACACATTGGGGAAAGGACGGTCTTCAATAAACGGTGCTGGGAAAATTGAATATACGTAAGCAGGAGAATAAAATGGGACCTATAATCTTTCACCATATACTAAAAGCAACTCAAAATGGATTAAAGACTGAAACACATAACCCAAAACTATGAAATAACTAAAAGAAAACATAGAGGATATGCTTCATGATATTGGTATGGGCAAGGATTTTTTTGTATAAGATCTCAAAAGCACAAGCAACAAAAGCAAAACTAGACAAATGGGACTACATCAAACTAAAAAGTTTGATGTAGTCAAACAGCAAAGGAAACAATCAATAGAGTGAGGAGATGTCCTATAGAATGGGAGAAAATATGTGTAAACTATACATCTGGCAAAGGATTAATATCCAAAATACATAAAGAACTCAAACAACTCAATAGTAAAAAAAAAAAAGAAAAGAAAAAAGAAAAAAAAAGTAATCAAAATTAAAAATAGAAAAAATACCTGAATAAATATCTCTCAAAATCGTCAACAAGTATATGAAAAAATGCTCAACATCACTAATCGATCAACACTGATGTGCATATATGGGAAGTAGCATTCACAAGGTGTCAGACAGGTGGAGGGGGTTGAGGGGATGGGTAAATTCACACCTAACCAATGCAGTGCCCACTGTCTGGGGGATGGGCACACTTGTAGCTCTGACTCAGTCAGTGCAAAGACAATATACGTAAACAAAGTGATTGTACTCCTGTAATACTCTGAAATAAAATAAACAAATAAATACCCAAAAAAGAGATAATCAATGATATAAACAAAATTAAAAACAATAAAAAAATTTAAAATTTAAATGTATAGAGAACTGAGTAAAGCAGATTGCTCTCTATAAAGTGGATGGTCCTCATTCAATCAGTTGAAGGCCTTAAGAAAAGGACTAATCCCCTCTAAAGAAGAGATAATTCTGCCAGCCAATTGACTTTGGACTAGAATGCCACTCTTTCCTGGGTCTCCAGCCTGCTGGCTTTGCCTGTTTCCATGGTCATGTGAGCCAATTGCCTAAAATATCTCTCGCGCGCATTTCTCCATATATATTTTACATATATACATATGAATTATAACATATATATACTATGTTATTAATATACCATCCAAAAAATATCTCTTAGTCCCCTACCTCTGTGTCTTTTTTCTTTTTTTATACAACCTGTTGTCCTCTGGGAAGACAGGAATGACACCATCCACTGAACCCCTAAATTCATAGTCTGTTCTACTCATGTGGTATTTTGCATTGACTAACCTATAATAGGTTTTAGGTTTTATATGTTACAGTTACTTTTTTATGTAGCTAAATTGAAAGTTCCTGGGAGGCAAAAAAAAAAAAAAAAAAATGCCCCATATACATAAACACTAGCTCTCAGCTGCTATCAAAGCACCTGACTTGTTTAAGGGCTCTTTGAAAGTCTGAAGAGGGCTGGAAGGAGTTACTGCACTACCTGTAAAAGAGGTGTCCAGGAGCTCATTTTTCCTTCTTGTACCAATTCCTGAAGGTCTCTTATAAAATGTACTCAAGTCTCCTCAGTGATGGTATGTAGAAATCATGTGAAATCAATTTCTCCCAACATTCTACCAGTATAGTCTTGTCTCCATGCCAACAAAGCAGCTGGAATTTCAGTCCACTGAGCCAACTGTAGTAAGACCAATCAAAGAATTGCCAGGTTATCTCACTGGTTCATCTTCTGTCCATCCACACCGTTCTACATGGTCCTACACTGTAGCACTTTGCATATACAGTGTTGTCTTTAGACACTTTATTGTCAGCAACAAAACAGAATGATTTACTCAACTCTGGTTCTCAAACATGAGTGGATAGAAAGACCACCTGTGGAATGCTACTGCTTCCCAATTCCCCTTCCTCAAATTCATCCCAGAATTCCAATTCACTAGTTCGGGAGTAAGTCCTGGAATCTGCTTATTTAACAAGTTCCCTCAGATTAGCCCTGCTCCACAGACCACTGAGAAACACTAAGGTAGAAAATCTGGATTTCTCAACTAGATTCATTAACAAACTCAATGAACCTGCGCTAAAATACTTATAAGAATAGCTCACTGACTTTTCCCTCAATTCAAAGTTGTTTTCAATTGCTTTAATCCCCTGGACTCAAGGCTGGCTGGTCTTTGCTTGTTGGTTCAAAGCCTTCCTGAAATATGGTCAACTGACAAATTGTTGTTACTATCTACAACATGAGAGGTGCCTCTCTGCCTGCACCCACAGACCCAAGGAAAGAGGCTCTCAGACAATCAAGCTCTCCTAGTCTTGATTACATAATCTAATTCTTATTGAATATAAATAAAAATTATAAAAGACATATGAAGGAAGGCTAAGAAAAAAGGAAATATTTAGGTCTTCCCTCACCTGAGATCGTAAGAGGACAGCCTATTTATATAGATTCAGTTTTGTGATGCTTTTGTGACTGTTAACCAAAGTGCAGATGGCCAATATTTTTGTAAGAAACAAGCCAAATGCACTCAGAACCATGATCTAAGAATTCTCTGATTCTCCAAACCATAAAGATGAGTTCCTATGGCAACCTCAACCAACCTAGAACCAGCTCCACTCTGCAGCTTACACAAAGCTTAGCTTATTAAAATTCTTCCTTGCTATGTAAATTACAAAATAAGGCTTTTGAGATGCAATAGAATTCATATCACATAGTGAAACAGAAAGTTGGGAATGATTCCCTTGAGGCAAGTATGCCAGGTAAGAAGCAGGACCACAGCAAGAAGACCTCTCATGTTTCTGCTGCTCTGTTCATCTTCACTGCATCAGATCCTGTGTTATTTCCCCCTTTATCACATTCTAATCATTGCTTAAATGTCCTGATTCAAGAAAAGGTCCAAAGTCTATAGGAAGCCTCTTTAAGACAAAGCTGGCAACTAAACTTGGGTGGTTCATACATTCAAATTTAAAATAGAAAAGAGAGAGGAGGCTTCCCTTGCTGATATGAAAGGAGCATAAATGTTTCCCAAAGTGGGTTCAACTTAAGCAAAATTATGGTTGCTTGAAACTTTCCAGAACAGAATGAAACATTATAGTCAGAAATAGGCACACAAGCCAGGAAACCATAATAAGTACACAACACAAAGCAATAGGTTTGAACACATATGAATGGACATGGCTGTGTGCCAATAAACTTTATTTATACGACCAGATGGTGCGCTGGATTTGACCCTGGGGCCATAGTTTTCAACCCTGGTCTAGACTAATAACAATAGAATTTGTGATAATTATTTCTGCTGGAGGAAACAGCAAAAAGAGAGAGGAAAGAATGTTGATATTTATTAATAACTATTATGTGCAAAGCAGGGCCCAGTCTAGGTTGAGGTAAGAGAAGTGTCTAGAACACAAAACTTAAGAAGGTGATCACCTCAGAACCCTGAACTCATGCAATCCTGGTGCCAGGCATTCAGATATGTTTAAATTGATTGCCTGATTTCATGCTCACGGCAACCACGTGGAATAGTTATCAACCATGCCACCATCTCCCCTTTTACCAATTGAGGAATTTGAGATTCAGAAAGGTTAAGCGACTTCTTCAAGGTCACCCATCTCAAAGTGGCAGCGTCCGAATTTTAACCCAGTATTCAATACCTGTATTCTTTGCAATGATCATTTGCAGGCAACGTGCAGGCAAACAGCATTTTGCACAAGGAGCACGATGTGAACAAAGACACAAAGTTGCAAAAATTCTTAGAATGTTTAGCTTTTTAACTAAAAAACATTAACAAGGTTTACACTTTGGTAAAAGGGGGAGCTTTATTTCTCATAGAGGGTAGCAGCCTGTTGGGCAGCCATTTCAACAAGCTGGAAAGCCCCTGGCCAGAAGCCAGGAACATGTGCTGCGAAGAAAGAGACAAAAGGAACAGGGTTTTATACTGAGCAGGGTGGTCAAATATACATGTTCAACAAGTTATACCAGGAGTCATGAATATTTACGAAAAGAGAGACCATGTACATTTGTGGTTGTGCTTTATCTCATCATGGCTGGGAGCTCAGTTTTAAGGTGTTTCTGGGATCCCCTTGGCTGAGACGGATCCATTTAGTTAGCAGAGGGGCTTAGGATGTTATTTTTAATTCACAAGCTTCATCAAAGTCTATTAAGGAATGAATGAGCCATTGTCTGAATGTTTTAGGAATGTCATTAATCTGCATAGATATCGTGAGCTTGGTGAAGAAGGGCTCTGGCGATGAAGAAGAGTCTTTGGACTGTAGCCAGCAGTGGGCACTGAAGGGCACCCTCAGAACACCAAGGTGTGGGTCAGACTCTGAGAGCTTCTGCTGTGTCTTGTGCCCTGATCCACGCCATCTGGATCCTCATGGTACTCAAGACCCAGGCGACAACTGTAGGAATCCTGGCTGTGTCTCTATGCCTGGTCCCAGGTCTGACATATCTTTTTAGGACCCATTCCTTCACTTGTTAATTAACTGATATATTCTTGCCCTCAGTATCCACTGAGACCCTTCTTCGGTTCAGGCTTGGTGCAACGTGTAGGCGATTAGAGACAAGTTCACATAGCTTTGATCCTCAAGGAGCCCACAGTCTAGCAAAAGATGCTGTGTAGTAGGCAGATGTTGCTAGAAGAACCAGCCCATCTTACCCCACCAGCCAACAGAACCAGCTGAGGGAAGAGAATGCCCTCTTTCCCAAGAGTGTAATCCGATGCCAACAAAGACTAATCTCAGATGCGCTGCAAGATCATTGTAAAGTGAAGAGAGGTATGGTTAACAGTAGGTAGCATAGACACTTACTCCTATAGGCCTGAGCAGACAGTTTCTTTTAAATGCCAGTATTATTATATAATTTATATACAGTAAAATATACAGATGTTAAATGCACAATTCAATGAGTTTTCTCAAATGAATACACATGCATAGCAAAAGGAAGGGTGGAGTTTCAAAGGGCTAAGGAGTAAAACTGGAGGCAAGACGTACCAATTCTGCTTGACATAATAATGTACATTGTTGACACCACAGAATCAAAGGGCAACTGTCAGTGTGACAGGAGGCTGAGCCCCCATTGGAAGAAACAACAAGAATACATTTTAAAGAAGTGGGATATCTAATTTTCTGTTTTAAACCATTCACATTTTCTCATTGTACAACTCTTCCTTTTTGCCAAATCTTCAGACATAACTTCTACCCCTGCAAGGCCTTGTCGGAGTGAGTTTTGGTGCCTGTGTGTGGCTCTGTGTGTCTTTGTATAAGGGTGTATATAAATAAAAGAGTTGAACCCCACATCTGGGCCACCATCCAGGTGTGAGATGGGGAGACAATCTCCACATGTACAGCTGAGAACAAGAATCCAGTGAACTTTCCTTTCACCACAACTACGATCTCGCATGTCTCTGTACGCACACTGCTTTAATTGCTCTCTGACCCACCGTCCAGGTTGGATGCTCTAGAAACAGATGCTGAGATGGAGCTGGGATATAAGGTGTTTTCTAAGGAATAGGGATCAACACCTGTGGGAGGTAAGGGGAGGAAGAGTGGGCAAAGGAAGATGCCAAATTGGAGTACAGGCCACCAGAAGCCTCAGCCAGTCCTGCAGGAGCTCCAGAATGAATATTTGCTTGTCACCCACCCCACCTCAGTGCTGGAGGCACGCTATTTTCATGACTGATGTCCAGGTCAAAACTGACTTCACCATCTATTCTTTGCTTAATAGAAACTGGGAGAGAGATTTTATCATATATGTAGACTAACAAATGTGTAAGTCAGGGGTCCTCAAACTTTTTAAACAGGGAGCCAGTTCACTGTCCCTCAGACAGTTGGAGGGCCGGACTATAGTTTTTTAAAAAAACTATGAACAAATTCCTATGCACACTGCACATATCTTATTTTGAAGTAAAAAAAAAAAAAAAAAACAGGCAAAAACACCCGCATGTGGCCCGCGGGCCGTAGTTTGAGGACGCCGGGTGTAAGTAGTTGGAGGCCATTCCGGTTCTGCACAAACCATCAATTTGACCCAAACAAACAAACAAAGCCCAGTGGAGTGTTCCAAACCAGGACGGCCTTTGTCACTGCACCAGCAGAACTCAATCCTAGAGCTGCTTTTCCTGGCTAAGTTCTGGGGGCCAGAACCTGGACCTTCAATACCAGTCTCAATGCACAAAACCAAAAATGAGATGTGAGAGGTTTAGTTTGACAGCCAAAAAAAAAAAAAAAACAAACAACCAAAAACCTCCTAGGCCCCTCTGCCTCTTCTCCATACACCTCTCAGCCCCACATGTCTTCATCTCCTTCTCCCTGAGCCTCTGTTTGGCGACAAGCAGTTGGCGTCTTCATTTCTCTTCAAGAGAAGCCCTAGAAAGGTAAGTCAATCCACACAGACTAGAAGAGAGGGAACAGGTTAA